GGTACCGGCACCGGCAGCGCGCGGCGGCGGGAGCGGGGAAACGGGGAACCGGGAGCGTCGGGAAAGCGGGAGCACCGGGGAAACGGGGAACCGGGAGCATCGGGGAGCCGGGAGCAGTGGGAAGGCTCAGCACCGGGGAAATGGGAGCAGTGGGAGCCGCAGTAGCGGGGGAAAGGGAAACCGGGGAACTGAGGAACCGGGGAGCCGTGGCACCGGGAAACAGGGAGCACCGAGAAACTGGGGAACCGCAGCTCTGGGGAAACAGGGAGCCGTGGGCACCGGGAAACCGCGAGTACCGGGAGGCTGCAGCACCGGGGAAACGGAAAACCGGGCAACTGGGGAGCGGGAAAACCGTGGGAACCGGGGGGTATTAGGGAGCCACAGCACCTGGGAACCGGGAAACCAGGGAGGGGCAAAACCGTGGGCACCGGGAAAGGGGGGAGTACAGAGGAGCTGAGAAGCCACAGGATCGGGGAAACGGGAAACCAGGGCACCCGAGAGTCGTGGGCACCGGGGAACCGGGGAGTGGCGGGCACGGGCGAAGCGGGGGCATCGGGAAACTGTGAGCAACGGGGATACGGTTAACCGTGGGCACTGGGGAGCTGCAACACCGCGGAAACGGGGAACCGGAGGGTGGGAAAACTGTGGGAACCGGGAGCATCGGGAGTCGCAGTACCCGGGAACTGGGAAACCGGGGGCACTGGAGAGCCGCGGCTTTGGGGAACCGGGAGCATCAGGGAACCAGGAAATCATGGGCACGGGGGAACCGGGAACACTGGGCATCTCTGGCACGGGGGAATCGGGAGCAGCATGCAGCCGGGAACCGGGAGCAGTGGGCAGCCACAGCACCGGGAAGCCGCAGCACTGGGGAACCGGGAGCATCGGGATCACCCACCTGGCACCTCCTGCCAGGCCTGGCACCGGGTGTGGGCACCAGCACCGGGCCACGGCGGGGCTTGGGGTGGGCCAGGAGGGAACCGGAGCGCCCCCGGTGACAGCAGCTCCAGCGGTGGGGAACACCGGGACACCCCCGTCCCCTCTCCCGTCCCCGTCCCAGGTGTCGACTTCAAGATGAAGACGATCGAGGTGGACGGGATCAAGGTGCGGATACAGATCTGGTGAGTGGCGGCACTGGATCCCGGGGGGCATTCTGGGGGGTCTGAGTCCCGCTCCCCCAGCCGGAGTGGGGGCTGAGCCCTGCCCAACTCGTGCCGCGGGTGGTGGCACTGACCCCCTGTCCCCGGGCAGGGACACGGCCGGCCAGGAGCGGTACCAGACCATCACCAAGCAGTACTACCGGCGGGCACAGGTACGGGGGGTTCCCATCCTGGCGTGCAGGAGAGGGGAAACTGAGGCACGGATTTGGGGTGTCAGTGGCCGGCCCCCCCTCCCGCAGGGCATCTTCCTGGTGTATGACATCAGCAGCGAGCGCTCCTACCAGCACATCGTGAAGTGGGCCAGCGACGTGGATGAGGTAGGGGTGCATGGGAGGGAGGTGGGGGTCCCCTCGCCGTGGTGGGGGGGGA